TTCTACACTGCTGGTGGGAATGTAAACTAGTACAGCTACTCTGGAAAATGGTGTGGAGATTCTTAAAGAACTGAAAGTAGAACTACCATTTGATCCAGCAATCCCACTATTGGGTATCTACTCAGAGGAAAAGAAGTCATTATACAAAAAAAATATATATCTGCACACGAATGTTTATAGTAACACAATTCGCAATTGCAAAATCATGGAACCAACCCAAATGCCCATCAATCAAAGAACTGATAAACTGTGGTATATATATATACAATGGAATACTACTCAGCCATCAAAAGGAATAAATTAACAGCATTTGCAGCGACCTGGATTAGATTGGAGACTATCATTCTAATGAAGTAATTCAGGAATGGAAAACCAAACATTGTATGTTCTCCCTGATGTGTGGGAGCTAAGCTTTGGGGATGCAAAGGAATAAGAATGATACAGTGGACTCTGGGGACTTGTGAGGAAGGGTGAGAGGAGGGGCAAGGGATAAAAGACTACAAATATGGTGCAGTGTATACTGCTTGGGTGATGGGTACACCAAAATCTCACAAATCACCACTAAAGAACTTACTCATGTAACCAAATACCACCTGTACCCCAATAACTTATGGAAAAATGTAAAAAACAAGCGAACAAAAACCAAAGTGTGCTATCCCATGCAATGGAATATCATTTGACAATTTTAAAAAATGGCGTACTGATACATGGTGTAAAATGGGTGAACCTTGAAAACATTATGCTAAGTGAAATAAGCAAGGCACAAAATAACCGTGTATCATATGGTTTCATTTATATGAAATGTCCAGAATAGGCAAATCTGTATAAAGAGAAGGCAGATTAGGTTTTGCTAGGGCTTGGAGGGAGTGAGAATGAGGAATGACTGCTAATGTGTACAGTTTCCTCTAGGGGGAAATGGAAAATTTTCTAAAATTACATTGTGATGATTGTTGGACAATCCTATGAAGATACTGAAAACATTGAATTGTACACTTTAAGTGGATGAATTGTATGGTATATAAATTATATCTCAATATCTCAATAAAGTTATTTTAAAACAATGCACATTATTGAAAATCTACAAAGTTTCTACTAATAACATGTAATGTTTTTAGTTGTCTTTAAATTACTGTCTTTATTTTAGGATGTTTTTTAGTTCTAGAATCTTGAGATTTGATGAACAAATGGGTGTTATTTTCCTCACAATTAACTTTGGACACATTTTAAGTAATTGTATGTGCTGTGATTACTAGAACTACACATGCTGTGCTAGTATGGAATAGCATGATTTATGAATCATTTTTTCTTTAATATTTTGAGCCACTTGTCGGCTCATTGGGCTGATGTTTGGAGCAATTTGCTATTATGCCTACCTTGGGTGGTAAAAGATAGTATAGAGCTCATTATCTTTTAAGTTTTGTTCATATTCTTTTTCTCTAAGTTCATCATTACCTTAGACATACTGCTATTGAATTTCATGTGGCGGCTTTGGCCTGCTCAGGCATCCTTGAGCCATTATTTATCAGTTTGTTACTGTTAGCTTAATATTTCACTACTTGGAAGAACTAAATAACATGCAAATTTGAAGGTCTTAGTGTATAATTCCTTTTCTAGATAATTAAAATGTTAATAGTTGCTCAATGGATCTAAAGCTTCAGTTATGCACAATGAGTAAGTTTTACAGATCTGTTATACAATATGGTGCCTACAGTTAACAGTACAGTATTGTTCACCTTAAAATATGTTAAGAGGATAGATTTCATGTTAAGTGCTCTTACCACAACCCCCCCCACACACAAGAACATGAAGAAATTTTTGGAGGTGATGGATATGTGTAGTACTTTGATTGTGCTGATGGTATCATGGGTATATGTATATATCCAGACTCATAAGTGTGTATGCATTATGTGCGGTTTTATATATAGATTAATAAAGTTTTTAAAAAAGTATCTCTGCATGCACTTTTAAATTTCCCTCTGTTAATATTCTGGGTCTAAAATAGAACCTATTTATGGTTTTATTCATGGTCCTTAATCTCCAATTACAGATAATGTTGTAAAAACATTAACAATTATATGGGGACCATGACTTCCAAGTGATGGACTACTGTTGTAATATTCTTCTCGCCATAAAGCAAGATATGATATTTACTCTTTCTCCTCAAATATTCTCCATTTGTTGTCTTTTTTTTTCCCCCAGTGGCAATGCTTCTTTAGTTTTACAATGGAGTGTAAGAACAAAAGTGTTTAGCTTTCTTACCAATAGATGTCTTCTATTTTGTAAAGTTTATTCTGAATTTTAGGTTATAGTATGGAATGGAGGAGAAGATGCTGTTACTAAGACATAGTAGAGATTGGCTATGATCCAAATACCATTAAATTACAATTTGAATCTTAACAACAAAGAAGACATCAAATTGACTCCTTTTTCTACGTGATACAACACAGTGACCTTGAAAGCAGTTTCAGACTTGTCTTTCAGTGTTACTGTAGTCATTAGATAGTTTCACAATGGTAAATGTGACTTATTAGGTATGAGATATTTCATTTTCAGAATTATATCAAAGCTTGACATTAGAACAGATGTAGATATTTGCAGCTATGTGTCCGAGTCATTCAAATCGCTTCTATCTAGAAGTGCAAGTAGATTTGAAGTTTCCTTTCCCAGAGTGATTTGCAAGATTTGTGTCCAGTTTATAGATTTTCTGAGCACTGTCTTCTTTATCTCTTCTTGCTTACCTTTTTTGAAACTCATTGTTTTCCCTGCATGTATGTGAATAATAAAAGGCTAGATAAAACTTAAGCTAGCAAATGTCAGTGTTTTTTTCAGAAGCCCTAATAAAATATTTACTTTATTTTTAAAAGGTACTTGGTTTGAAGGAGTAGGACCATAAGAGTGATTACAGAAACGGTATTTGGGGGCAAATGCTGGCTGAACTTAGAGATTGGGCTTAGAGTAGTCCCCCCTTACCATGGGGGATACATTCCAAGACTCCCCATTGGATGCCTGAACCTGTGGATAATACCTAACCTTTTATGTACTGTGTGTTTTTTTTCCATCTGGTAACAGACAGCTACTAAGTGACTCATAAACAGGTAGTGTTTATAGTGTGGATATGCTGGGCAAAGGAGTAGTTTAGGTTTCAAGAGGGATGGAATGGGACAACATGAGATTTTATCATGCTACTCAAAATGACATGCAATTCAAAACTTATAAGTTATTTATTTCTGGAATTTTCAATATTTTCACAACACAGGTAACCAAAACCATGGATTGCAAAACCATTCATAAGGAAGAATTTCTGTACTTTTAGAATTTAATGTATTTTAGTATCATAAATAATCCAGAGTTTGCCTTCTGCCTTTCAGATTTACCACTAGCAGAATATTGGAATTTTTTTCTTGTTTTTTTATTTTGGTACATATATTTAATTTGTTCACGAATAACAAAAAGAATCATTATAGTTTATTCAAAGGTTTCCCATGTGAACATCTAAGATGGGACCAATTCAATCCAAAATTTAATTGTATACCTATTATGTGCCTCAAAATGAACTAGATATTTGATTTACAAGGTTCAGAAAAAATATATATATTCCCAGCCCAAGATTCTTAATTTTTTAAAATAATAGGATGTAAGGAAAAAAAGACTTTAGTTTAAAAAGCTATTACCATAATGCAGAAACATGAGTCACAAATAGATCTGACTCACCTGCAAGTGTATGTACTAAGTGAGGAAGGAAGCATTCAGTAGGTGATGTTGAACACTAGCACTTTATTGTAAAGATTATGATCTTCATGAGCAAAGCAGTAAGCCCTGCAGTAGAGATTTAGTGTTAAGGTATGTGTTGCCATTGTTATTGGGAAAAACTTGTTTTAATTGTGAAAGTGGGTATGAATTCTTCTAAGGCTCTATTGGAAAAAAATGTAATGCAAATATTCATTGAGCAAAAATGGTTATACATATGTGAATTATCTCTTACCCAAAATAAACTTTCAGTGTAATTAAGGAGTTAAGACTTGCATATATGAAGCCATTGTAGACATGACAGAGTTAGAACCTACCCTAACCTCTTGGGGTAAACTCTCTTTGTCCAGGAATGCTTCATGGAAGAAATGGGATTTTTCTTTTCTTGTTAAGAGGCAGAGTCTCACTCTGTCATCCAGGCTGGCCTGCAGTGGCATGATCACGGCTCAATATAGCCTTGACCTCCTAGGCTCAAGCCATCCTCCTACCTCAGCCTCCTGAGTAGCTGGGACTACAGGCATGCACCACTGCACCCAGCTGATCTTTTAATTTTTTATAGAGACAGAGTCTCCCTTTGTTACCCAGGCTGGTCTTAAACTCCTGGGCTCAATCCTCCAGCCTTAGCTCCCCAAAGTGCTAGAGCCACAACACTCAGCCAGAAGTGGGATTTTAGATGTCCACTGAAGAATTGATAGACTTCCTTATGTTACAGTGAAAATCACCTTTTTCAGTAGAACCTACTATAGCTTTTGGTTGACATGTGTACTGGAAGCAATGAATTGCATTATGGCACAGTAGGAATGGTAAACACAGGTTCTGAAGTCAGACTGTTTGACTCCAAATTCGGATTTCACCACTTACTAGCTCCATCACTATAACATGGGGATAATAACAGTATCGTTCTAATAGGGTTGTTAAGGATTAATGAGAATTAATTAGCATAATACATCTACATACTGTGTGAATAGTATGAACTATGTAGTCTGATTGACTACATAGCTGATTATAGTCTGGTTCGAATCCCAGTTAAAAACCTTAGGCACTTGGCTTCTCAAGATTCAGTTTTCTCATTTATAAATGGAGATAATGAAGACTAACTCACAGGATTGTTGTGATGATTAAATGAAGCAATTTACATCAAGTACTTACTGGAGTGCCTGACATATAATAAAAGCTCTATAAATAATGTTATGTTCTTATACAATCTAAGCCATGTAGAGACTTCAATATTATCTTTTTATTCATGTTTTCAGGGTGAGCCTGGTCTGCCTGGATACCCAGGGAACCCTGGTATCAAAGGTTCTGTGGGAGATCCTGGTTTGCCTGGATTACCAGGAACCCCTGGAGCAAAAGGACAACCAGGCCTTCCTGGATTCCCAGGTAAAATTTCTTCTCTTAAATGCTTCCTTCTTTCCTTCCTTATCTACTCCAACCAGTATCACAGAGCAGCTTCTTATTTGGCAGACTTATATTTTATTTCCCAATCGAATACTGACTAGCAACATAATCTCAAACTATCTCTTTACCTTTTCTTTGCCCAAATTTGTTTCTATATAAAATGAGGATGATTATTACTGACTCAGCAGGACAACATCCTGTGGACAGAGAGACTGTTTGGTGGAGCATTCTTCAATCTTTGACTGCTAGCCACAAATCACTTAAGAAGCCTTGCTATTTTTGTAGGTGATAATGTATACTTCCAAGCCTCTGCCTGCAGCTGATTCTCTTAGAAAGGTATGCCCAGGCACACAGCTGGTAGCGGTTGGTAGAACAATCATACAGTTCCTTCAAATGACAAGGATTGAGTCATTCAAGTAAGAGATAAGCACTATAGTCAATTATGTAGCCTGAACTAGATTATTATAGTACCTACTTGTTTAGGGTTGAATGTATTTTTCGTTTGTTTTTTCAATTACACAGTGGCATGGATGAATGAATCTTTCCTTTTTATTGAAGTGAAGCGTACATATAGTAACGTACACTTAAGACTATAGATGAGTTTTTACCTAAGTATATATATCTTTGAATTTACCATACGTATCAAGATATAAAATAGTTTCTTCATCCCATGAAGTTTACCCGTGCCCCTACGCCCCCCAACCCTGAGGTAACTACTACTATGACTTCTATTACCATCAGTTAGTTTTGCATGTTATTGAAATTCATATAAATGAAATCATACAGTGATCCTTGTGTCTGGCTTTTTTCAGTCATCATTATATGTAAAAGATTCATTTATTTTGTTGCATGTGTCAGTAGTTTTTTCTTTATAATTGCTGTGTAATATTACATTGAAAAATGTACCACAGTCAATTACACATTCTCCTGTTGATGGACTTTTGGGTTGTTTCCAGTTTGGGACTATTATTTTTAAAAATACTATTAACATTCTTTTACATGTCTTTTGGTAAACATATGTATTGATTTCTCTTAGACAAAAACTTAGTAGTAGAAATACTGAATCACAGGGTAGGTGTACATTGAACTTTAGTAGATGCTGCCAAACAGTTTTCCAAAGTGGTTTTGTAAATTAGTTTCAACAGCAATGTATGAAGTGTCCAGTTCTCCAATTGCCCATGTCCTCACCATCACTGGGTAGTGTCGGTCTTAATTTTATCTGTTTTGATGTGTATGTAGAAGCATCTTACTGAGATTTGAATTTACATATTCCTAATGAATAATAGTATTAATCACCTTTTTATTATACTATTGGCCATTTGGATAGCATCTTTTTGAAGTTTCTTCTCAAGTACTTTTGTTCATTTTTTATTGAATTGTCTCTCCTTTTTCAAATAGATTCAGAGCAGTTCTTTATATACTCAAGATATGAGTCTTTTGTCAGATACATATATTGCAAATCTGTTCTCTGTGTCTCAGATTTGCCTTTCCTAATGCTGTTGTGTAATGAACAAAAGCTGTTAATTTTAATAAAATCCAGTGTGTCAATCTTTCCTTTCACGGATAGTGATTTTTTTATCCAATACAATAAATATTTGTCTACTTGAGGTTATAGAAATAATCTCCTAATTTTTATAACATGTTTAATGTTTAAACTTTTATATTTGGCTTATGATCTATCTCAAATAAAAATATTTTTACCTTGTGAGGTAGGGATCAAGGTTCATTTTTTTTCCAACACAGTTATCCAATTGCTCTCTACTATTTTTTTTTTAAGAACCTAAACACATCCAATAAATTACAGTCACTCTTTTGTTAGAAAGCCAAATGCTATATCTATACTCTGTGTTCTGTTCCAATGGTTTATTTTCTATTGCTGCTTTAACACAACACTGAATTACTGTAAATTTATATTAAGCCTTGAAAAATGGTCGGTAAGTGCTAGAGCTTTGTTTCAGTTTTTTAAAGCTTGTCTTGGCTATTCTAATTTTTTTTGCAGGGGAAATCAGTTTATCAATTTCCATTTAAAGTATCTGTAGGGATTTTTAAGTTTGCAATAACTCTCTAGGTAAGGTAGAGGAGAATTGATATTTTGACAGTATTCAACCTTCCAATAAAATGAACATGTTATCTCTCCATTTATGTAGGTATTGAGTTTAATTTAACAATATACTGCACTTTTTGTTTTGTAAATCTTGAACATATTTTATTAAATTTATCTCTTGAAATCTGATGCTTTCTGGTGACATTTAAATCGTATTGCTTTTCCCAGTTCATCTTCCAGTTGTTTCTTGGAAGTACATAGAAATAATTGATTTAAGAATATTGAAATAATATATGAGAAAATTGCCAATTTCACTTTTTAAAATTCTGAGTTTACATAATTTTTTGTTTTATAAAATATCACCTCAGATATTTTTATTACATCTTTTTCATTTCTTTATACCTTTTATTTCTTTGTCATGCTTAATTGCACCAGTTAGGACCTGTAGTGCAGTGTTTAATAGAAGTGGTTATAGTCGACATCATTATCTTTTTTCTAAACTCAGAGGGCAAATAATTGCTATTTTTCCATTAAACGTAGTGTTAGTGCCAGGGTTTTGGTATATATATTTTATTAAATTAAGGAAATCCCTTTCTATTCCTACTATAATGAGAATTTTTATAAAGAATGGATGTAAGTTTTATCAAATTCTTTTTCGCAATGTACAGAGATGATAAGTGTTTTTTCTCCTTTGCTCTTGATATAGTGAATTACACTGATTGATATTTTATGTAAAAACAACCCTGTATTCTTGGGATAAACTCCAAGGTGGTCATACTGTATACATTATCTTTAAGTATTATTGGACTGGATTTGCTATTTTTAAAAAAATTATATACAGCCGTGAGAGATATTGGCCTATGATTTTCTTTTCTCATAGTGTCCTTGTCAGTGTTTAAATATAGGGATTTGCTGGCCTCATGACCTGGGAAGTATTCCCTCTTTCTCGATTTTTTCTTTAAATGTTTCATAGAATTCACCAGTTAAGGAATCTGGATCTGTAGTTTTCTTTGTAGAAACCTTTTTAAATTACAGATTAGAAGTTTTTGTTATGTTACTATTCGGATGATTTATTTTTATGTCAGTTTAAATAAATTGTGTTTTTCAAGGAAATCGACCATTTCATCTAAATTGTCAAATTCATTGGTAGAAAGTTGTTGATAGTATCCTTGTTTTGTCCCTTTAATTTCTGCAGAATGTGTACTGAAGTCTGCATTTCAACAATGTTTTGATATAAGTAATTTTAAATTTATTTATTTATTTTGATCAAGCCGCCTAGGCATTCATTAACCTTTATTAATTGTTAAAAATTAACTTTTGTAAGTGATTTTCTCTACCGTTTGTTTTTTATTCCACTGATTTCTGCTTATATCTGTATTATTTCCTATCTTCTACCTTCTATGGATTTAATCTTGCTGTTCTTTTCCTAGCTTCTTTACCTGGAAGCTTAAGTCATACATTTTTCAGCTTTGTGTTTTCTAATAGATGCATTTAAAAACTTAAGTTTCCATCTAAGGAGGGCTTAAACCAAATCCCACAAATTTTGTTCTTTTGCGTTTTTCCTTTAATCATTCAGTTGAAGATATTTTCTAATTTTCCTGTTGATTTCTGTTTTTCTCCATAGATTATTTAGAATTGTGTTGCTCAACTTACAAATATTTGGGGGCTTCCCAGATATCTTTCTATTATTAATTTTTAATTTGGTTCTATTGTGGCCAGAATACATATTTTGTGTGATTTAACTATTAATACTTATTGAGACTTATCATATGGCCAAATTTAGGGTTTATCTGGGTGAATTTTCCTTGTACCCTTGAAAATAATTTGTATTCTGCAATTGGTATGTTGCATTATAAATGTCCATTAGGTCAAGTTCGTTGGTAGGGTTATTAAAATCTTGTGTATTCTTACCAACTTCTTGCCTAATTGTTTTATCAATTACTGAGAGATAGGTGTTAAAATTTCCAATATGATTGTAGAATTTTCTATTTCTTTTTTTTTCTCTGTCAATTTTTTGCAGTATGTCTTTTGAGATTTTTTTTTAGGTATATATAAATTTAGGAAACTTATGTTTTCTTGAAGAGTTGACCTTTTTATCATTATGTAAAGACCCTCTTTATATTCATAATACTCTTTTTTTTGGATTTTTCTTTGTCTGATATCACTATAGATACATCAGATTCTTGATGCTTAGTGTTAGTACAGTATAACTTTTTCTATATAATTTTTATTTTTACGAAAATAAAATACATTCATATCGTGCTTCTTTTCCAGTCCAACAATCTTTCCCATTTATTCTGAGTGTTTAGTCGATTTATATTTAATGTATGTTGTTATGTTTGAATTTTAGTCTGCCACATTGCTGTTTGTTTTATGCTCCTCCTTTGTCCCTGGTTTCCTGTTCTGTTTGGGTTCATCAGATATGCTATGGTATTCCATTCTATCTCCTCTATTGGCTTTTACCTCTACTGGCTTTTAAGCTCTCCCTGTTTCTACTATTTTTAAATGATTGCTCCAAAGATTTTAGTGTGCATTTATAATTTACCACATTCTGAATTAAATTAATGTTATGTGACTTCACATATAATGTAAGATTCTTACAACAGTATAATTTTATTTACATATAATGTTCTTTTGTGTGATTGTGTTCATATATTTTATATGATTATCATATAGGTAATAAATTTTACAATTGATTGCTATTACTATTGCTTTAAACAGCCTTTTCTAAAGAATTTAATATGAGAAACAAACCCAATTTTCATATTTACCAACATATTTACATTTCTACTGTTCTACCCTCCCATGCAGCAGACTTCTATTTGGTATTGTTCCCTAAAGCCTGACGTTCTTCCACTGTCATTTATTGTAAAATGATTTTGCTGGTGACAAATTCTCTCACCTTTAATTTATCTGCAAATATGTTTGTTTTAGTTTCATTTTAAATACATTTTTCACTGGATATAGAAACCCATTTTTGATATTTGTTGCCTTCAGCACTTTAAATGTTTCTTCCACTATCTTTTGGTCTCCATTTTTCCTGATAATAACACATCAATTATTTTTAATGTTTTGCTCCTTTATATTATGTCTGGCTTTTCTCTGGATATATTTGAGATTTTCTCTCTGTAGTTGGTTTTCGATAGTTTATTTTTGTTGTGGTTAGTTATGGTTGTATTTATTTTGCCCTCTATTGATATTCCTGAATCTGTAGGGTTGTTATTTTTTAATAACTTTGGAAAATCTCAGCTGTCGTTTCCTCATATATAGTCATGTGTCACATAACAACATTTTGGTCAACAACAAACTACGTATATGGTGGTGGTCCCATATGATTGTCATGGAACTGAAAATTTCCTATCACCTAGTGATGTCATAGCCATAGTAACATTGTATCACATTTATAATGTATTTTTACTGTACCGTTTCTAGGTTTAGATATACAAATACTTACCATTGTGTTATAATTGCCTACAGGATGCAGTACAGTTACATGCTATATAGGTTTGTAGCCCGGGAGCAATAGGCTCTACTATACGACCTAGATGTATAGTAGGTCATACCATCTAAGTTTGTGTAAATATACTTTATACGTTCACAGGATGACAAAATCGCCCAACAACTCATTTCTTAAAACATACTCCAGTTAAGTGACACATAACTGTATTTCTTCAGTCATATTTTCTCCTCTTCTTTTGGAATGCATATTAGATCACTTGATACTGTATCACAGGTCACTGAGGGTCTAGCTATATTTTCCATTTTTATTCTCTCTGAGGTTTAATTTGGATGGTTTTTATTCATTACCTTCAAATTTACTGATTTTTCATGTGTTCAATAGTCTGTTAATCGCCACAAAATTTTTAATTTCCATTTGGTTCTTTTAAGAGTTATCATATTTTTCCAGAAATTCCCTATTTTTTACTCATTATATACATTTTTGCCTATAGATTATTTAACATATTTATTATAGCTGTTTTAAAGATCTTTTCAGCTTAGTCCAAATTTTCAGATATCCATGTGTCTATTTCTATTGGTAGTTTTGTTTTTCTTGAATAAGTACCACATATTCAAGCTTCCTCCAATCTGCTAATTTTTATTGTATACTGAATGATGTGGATAGTATAGTATAAAGATTCTGGATTCTATTAAATTTCTTGAAGAATACTGAATATTGTTCTACCTGGCAGTTCAATTCCTGGTATCAACTTGATCCTGCAGTGATGGAGTTTTAGATTCTGTTATAGCAAGGCTACTTCCAATGCCCTTTGTCTTACATGTATCCCTTGGACTTGGCATATGGGCTTTATTCATAATGTGTGGTTTTTCTGGGGCAATTTCCTTTAAAAAAATTTCATTTAGTATTTCTTATAGTGAAGTCTGTTGGCAACAAATTGTCTTAGCTGTCATTCATTAGAAAACATTTCCATTCTGCTTGCATTTGTTATTGAGTTACATAGTAGACAGAATTCTACGATCTCCACCCCAAGATTTCTGGCCCCTGGTTATTTAGTCAAAAACCAATCTCCTTAAGCTGATAAACAACTTCAGCAAAGTCTTGGGATACAAAATCAATGTGCAAAAATCACAAGCATTCCTATACACCAATAATAGAGAGCCAAATTATGAGTGAACTCCCATTCACAATTGCTACAAAGAGAATAAAATACCTAGGAATACAACTTACAAGGGATGTGAAGGACCTCTTCAAAGGGAACTACAAACTACTCCTCAAGGAGATAAGAGAGGACACAAACAAATGGAAAAACATTCCATGCTCATGGGTAGAAAGAATCAATATCGTGAAAATGGCCATACTGCCCAAAGTAATTTATAGATTCAATGCTATTCCCATCAAGCTACCACCGACTTTCTTCGCAGAATTAGAGAAAACTAGTTTAAATTTCATATGGAACCAATAAAGAGCCTGCATAGCCAAGACAATCCTAAGCAAAAAGAACAAAGCTGGAAGCATCACGCTACCTGACTTCAAACTATACTACAAGGCTTTTATCACCTAGTGATGCCATAGACGTAGTAATATTGCTAAGGAGAGAATCCAGCTCAGCTGTGTCCAGAATATTACCTACAGAAATGGTGAGATAATAAATGGGTATTGTTTTAAGTCATTAACTTTGGGTTAATTTGTTACATAGCAAGAGAAAACTAATGCACTACCCTTTTGGTCATTATTTAAGTTTTTACTTCCCTCCTCAATATGCTCGTTAGTATTTATTTTAGGGTCTTTGAATAGTTCCTTTTTGTATTCTGTCAAGTTTTTAATTATAATCAGTGAGAAAAAAAAGGCTGTAGTGCGCTTATTCTATCTTAGCTTGCCTCAGAAGTGTTTAGGGATAAATTTAAGAAAATATTTTCTTGGTATATTCACTGAAAACTATAAAACCTGCTATGATAAACTTTTAAATACCAAAATAAATGAAGAGATAGATCATACTTATGGAATGGAAGATCAAAATTGTTAGGAAGCCATTATCCTTAGTAAACTAATTCAGGAACAGAAAACCAAACACTGCATGTTCTCACTGATATGTGGGAGCTGAATAATGAGAACACATGGACACAGGAAGGGGAACAAAACACAGTGTGGCCTGTGGAGCAGGGTGTGTGGGTCAGTGGGAGGGAGAACATCAGGAAAAATAGCTAAGGCATGCTGGGCTTAATTCTTAGGTGATGGTTTGATACGTACAGCAAACCACCATGACACATGTTTACCTGTGTAACAAACCTGCACATCCTGCACATGTACCCCAGAACTTAAAACAAAAAAAAAAGATGCCACTTGCCTCTAAAGTCATTCGTGGATTCAAAGTGATTCCAGTTAATAACCCAACAACCTTTATTTGGTAACAGTTGACAAATGGTTTCTAAAATGTGTATGGAAATGAAAGGGACATAGAATATGCAAAACAATATTAAAAACAAGGCTGGGCTCGGTGGCTCACGCCTGTAATCCCAGCACTTTGTGAGGCTGAGTCGGACAGATCACGAGGTCAGAAGTTCAAGACTGGCCTGGCCAATATGGTGAAACTCTGTCTCTACTAAAAATACAGAAATTAGCTGGGCATGGTGGCATGCGCCTGTAATCCCAGCTACTTGGGAGGCTGAGGCAAGAGAATTGCTTGAACCCAGGGGTTGCAGTGAGCCGAGATCGCGCCACTGTAATCCAGCCTGGGCGACAGAGCGAGACTCTATCACAAAAACGAAACAAAACAAAAAAAGAATGTGTGGTACTTGATAAGGATTGAGAAATAGATCAATGAAACAGAATATGGAGGATAAAAAAGACTAATATACAGTAAATCGACTTTTGATAAAGGTATCAAATAAACTTTTTAGAGAAAGCAAATTCTTTTCAACAAATGGCCTTGACACATCTAGATATTCATATGGGGAAAAAGTGAAACTTAATTCATACATTACATGAACAGAAAAAAATTATTTTTAATTGGATCTTAGCCTGAACATAAAAGCTAAAACCATAAAGCTTTTAGAGGAAAACTTAGATAGATATTTCCATGACTTGGCATAAGCAGATTTTCTTAGGATACGAAAAGCAGTACCTGTAAAAGAAAAAAATTGATAGATTAGATTTAAATTTTTAAACTCTTTTTATCAGAAGACACCGCTAGGAAAATGAATAGGAAAGCCAAAGACAAGGAGAAAATATCTGCAAAACATACCTGACAAATTACTGATATCTAGGATATGTAAAAAACTTCAATAACTCAATAATAACAAGACCTATTATCCAATTTTGAAAAATTGAGAAAACTTTGAACAGATATTTCACAAAAGAAGATATACAAGTGGCCAGTAATCACATGAAAAGGTGATCGATGTCATTAGCCATCAGAGAAATGCAAATTAAAACCACAATGAGGTAGCTCTACGTACCTACCAGAATGTCTATTATTACAGCAACTGATATCATCACAAAGATTGTGCAAGGATCTGGAACAACTGGAATTTCCACACATTGTTCTGAGTGTGAAATGGTTTGGCAGTTTTTAAATAAAGCACAACATATAGCTACTCTTTGATCCAGCAATTCCACTTCTTGTTATACACCTAAGATAAATTAAGGCAGTGGTCTACAAAAAGACCTGTGCAGAAATACTCATAGCAGCTTTATTTATAATAGATAAAAGCTGGAAATAAAACAGGTTTTTATAAATAGAAAAATGGATATTGTAATAACTAAAACCTGTCAGTAAACCAAAAGACCAGCAAGAGGAATAGATTTTTTAAATTATGGTATGTTCATATAATGGAGTCCTACAAATTCTACCAGTATAATATGGTGGTAGTTATTTTTATGTTTATAAATATATAATAATGCCAACTTCAGGACAAATGAATTAAAAACATAAAATTATTATTAAAAATAGCTAGCAAACACCAGCATCTTTTGGGTTTCTTTTTGTTCTGCACTGTTTCTGTGCTAGCACTATAAATTGTAAGTTTGAATTGTAGCTTTTAAAGCAATGCAGTTTTTCTTTCATTTTTAAATTGAGCTCTTTATTCTAGGAACCCCAGGCCCTCCTGGACCAAAAGGTATTAGTGGCCCTCCTGGGAACCCTGGCCTTCCAGGAGAAACTGGTCCTGTAGGTAAGCATGAAAAATAAGAGTTTGCTGTTTTATAAAAAACTAATGCATATCATATTCAGTTTGGGAAAGTCAAATCCTGTTTAGCTGTGAACATTTTCAACACAAGGAAATATGGTGTTCATTCACTTAACACTGCGTGTTAGGTACAGAATGAATAACTTTTAATAAAAAGTAGTTAAAATTGGCTGGGCACAGTGGCTTACGCCTGTAATCCCAACATTTTGGGAGGCCGAGGTGGGAGGATCACTTGGGGTCAGGAGTTTGAGACTAGCTTGGTCAACATGGTGATATCCCATCTCTATTAAAAATACAAAATATTAGCCTGCTATGTTGTGGTGGGGGGGACCTCCTGTAATCCCAGCTACTCGGGAGGTTGAGGCACGAGAAGTGCTTGAACCCAAGGGGTGGAGGTTGCAGTGAGCCGAGATCATGCCATTGCACTCCAGCCAGGGTGACAAAGCAAGACCCTCAAAAAAAGGACTTAAAATTATCATTATGTGACCTTATTTTCTAGGCCCACTTTTTCCAGGGAGAGTTAATTCAAGTGTCCTAGAATAGAAGCTTTGATTTTTTTAGAATGGCAGGCTGTAGTAAGTTTGTTTATTGATTTCTAAAGTAAATAACTTCTCTTGGCCCCATATGAGGCCTATAATTCACCCCACCACCCTTTGCACCTTACTCTCTTAGATATTCTGAAACCGTATTAAAATGAATAACTGAAAGGTTTTAGATGCTGAGTGACTATTCCTTATTTTCATTATCCTCCTTCATATTTTTATAACATTTTGTGATCCAAAGGAGTGTCTCAAAAGCACCCTGTTTCTTTTGGATAAAGAAGGGAGCATATGGAAGTAAAAGGGAGTTGGAAATTGGAAAACTGGGTGTAACCTGCTGTACTCAATTTTTTAGGTGGTGGAGGTCGTCCTGGGCAACCAGGGCCTCCAGGCGAAAAAGGCAAACCCGGTCAAGATGGTATTCCTGGACCAGCTGGACAGAAGGGTGAACCAGGTGCTGTATTTTTTCATTTTTCCTGTCTTTCTAATTTTCTCCGTGTTGAATTTAACTTGCCTTTTTATTACCCACAGTGAAATTGTATCTTCTTTCTTACTAAGCTACTACACACTTTCCCCTTTTCCTAGTTACCATCTTCCTCTTCATCCTGAGAATATTAGCTCATGTATCTTGATCAAGTTGCCTCCTTCCTATGAAAAACTCCATATCTTTTCTTGTCTAATTTTTCATATCAAAAAGAAGTTACCTAGCTTTTGCAAATTTCTCTATGGTTTACTACGCAATCTATATTTTATCTATATTTTTTTTCTTGTAAGCATATAGATATATTTAACATTCATCACAAATAGAATATATGTTTAGATAGTTTTCTCATGTTAGAATTATAGTTCTGTGTTGGAAATAAATGTTCTGCATGTTTCATATAATATACATTGCTGCACTTAATGAAAACCTCAATGATCTAAAAATAATTTGGCCTTATTTCAGTTTTTATTATCCACTTGAGATTTTTGTTTTGTTTTGTTTTGTACTCTGACAGGTCAACCAGGCTTTGGAAACCCAGGACCCCCTGGACTTCCAGGACTTTCTGGTAAACCTTAATAAAACATGCTGTATCAATCTATAAGAAAATGAGAATATTTCCAAATACATCTATTTTTCCATCTCCACCATTTACTATCATAAAATGCATGTAAGAACCCAGAAAACTCAAAGCTAGTGTTAACTTTAAAATGTTTATTATTTAGCAACTTAGTTTAAGGAGTTGTGTTAAATAAAAATGTATCCTTAAGGAAATTTACATGTGGAAATCTCTTCATTAAATTCATAAATAAATACTGAGGAAATGATAAAGAAGGCAAAATTGCAGGAAGATAAGAAAAGTCTGTAGAAATATACGTCAATAATAAAAATATTTCTTGAAATTTCAGTCTTAATATATGTTTTGCATATTTGCTCCCTCTTTTGTGCTTACTCTTACTGTAAGCACCAAATAGTAGGAGGACTGAATGTACATACAGATATGTATGTTTATGTTCTGAAATGCCACTGGCCATTTTATGGAGACTTTTCTCAAACCATACACATCTCTCCTAGAAAGTTAGATAGATATCCTTCCCATGATACCAACATGGCAATTATTACTTTAATGTGCCACTGTCATATTGCTCTTAAAAGTGTCAGAGGTGGAGAAAAAATGTTGAGAACAATTTTGCTAGAAGGTGATTATAAATATTGGGTAGAATGGTCTTCGGGGACACATAACAACCATTGAAGAGCCGTATCTTTCATTAGTCTCAAAATTAGACTCAAAATATTTGTTTTAGAAATTTCCTCCAGCTATCTTGAAACTATTTTTGAAGATACTTTATACTTTTTTCCCTCATAGCTATTGGTGATGTGATCATTGCTCTGTCTTAACACAAAAGATGCCTTTTAGGATGAAAGCTATTATTTCTATATTTGTATATATACTCTAATAAATACTTCTGCTAACAAATACATATATTTAATGGGAAGGATGGTTTTCTGGGTAGATTTGGGATTTGGTAGGAGATGGAAATGACTCTTGTGAATTCCATTAATTGCCTTAATATGTGTGAATAGCTAACCTTATAGGCAAGCCTGTAACTCAGTATTATTTAATGTATCTTCTAATTATACTTTACTTTTATAGGCCAAAAGGGTGATGGAGGATTACCTGGAATTCCAGGAAATCCTGGCCTTCCAGGTCCAAAGGGCGAACCAGGCTTTCATGGTTTCCCTGGTGTGCAGGGTCCCCCAGGCCCTCCTGGTTCTCCGGGTCCAGCTCTGGAAGGACCTAAAGGCAACCCCGGGCCCCAAGGTCCTCCTGGGAGACCAGGTATGTCCATGAGTGGTAGGGGAATGGTCTATTTATTAGTCCATGTATTTCATTTTGCTGGCAGGTTATTCAGTCTTCAAGACTTTAGAATTTTTCCAGTGCATTGTAGGATGTTAAAAAACAAGACTAAAATTTGTAATATAATAACTTCTTACAAGTAAATAGCTTGGTTCATAGCTAACTCCATCTATTTCCATGGTTCTAATAATTTGCTTTAGTAATGCATTTTATCATTTATATAGAGGAAGTAAAACAACTTGGAGGAATAAAGGAAATGGTGGCTTTATTAGTCTTGTTACTAAAAGGTAAAACTATACTGTTAACCTGTCAGCAAAATGCCATCTGCATTTTTAAATGTGAGCTTCTCAGCATGTCATCACAGAAATCATTTTAGTGATCACCCAATAGATGCTTGTGGTCCATACCAAAAGTATTGCTATGGTTCTGTCATATGATCAGCAAATCTCACCAGGCACAATTAAAAAAAATTATCTTCCGTAGGAACTAGGCAATCAAATTTATCCCCAACATCACAGCATGATCAAATTGACTAGTGATCTCTTCATACCAACCTCATGTCTGTACCTCATTTGTCTTGTGTTCACTGCTCAGTTTTGCATCCAACGTTCACCTTTTCATTTTGTATCTGTGCTGTGTCATTTCATTTTACTAATTTTGGAAATGCTCGTTTTCATCCTTTATTAATGTCGCTGAGCCTAGTCACTGGTGATAGGTTATGAACAGATTTTGAGGCTTGATATTCAAATTTTATATTTCTGGTCACTGAAAACTTGGAAGTAAATGTCCTTTTATTCTTTGAAAATCTCTGACATTATATAAGTGCATTTCAAAATGAAAATTTTATTTATATTACAGTAAAATGTGAAGTGATTGGAGTTCATTTTAATAAGATGTTCAAAACACATAAATTAAATGGGATAACATACTGTGTTCAGAGGATCATTTTCAAAACCAAATTTTATCTGATCTGATATAATCTGATGGAAAGTATTATTTAAGGTTTTATGTTTGTATACTATTGAAGAAAACCAGTGAAAATCTCCTCAGCCATGTTAACTCTCTTGCATGTGATGTAAAGAACTGAAGCAAGTATCTTGCTTGGTTTTGCATGCAGTAATTAAAATAAACCAAACTATTACCTTTTTTATATTTTAATCTTCACTGTGGTTATTCATTTTTACTAGTAATGAATGAGTAATGAGCTCACTGTTGAACATTACTTTGAAATTTGTTGGTATGAAGCCATTAGTCACAAAGATGCCTTACAAATTACATTTTTAAAGAAATAATAACAAAAGTAGTTAGAAGAATGCATACCTGATGAGTGTTTGTGACTTCTCAATTTAATTATAAATTAAAACTGAGTTGTAAACCCCATTGCTCTTAGAATTGATTGTTCTTAGTCTGAGCTCATAGTAATGATTATGATAGCAATGACTTTTGGCCTTTAAAAATATACCACAGAGTGCTGTTTTCATTTCAGTTTTGTCAGTAAGTGGTGATAATTTGGTTTATATACAGATGCATGGATATGAACTTTCAGAGTATTCTTTTATTGAAATACATTTTAACTTGAAAGTATTTAGTGTAATGCTTTTTAGTTTCTTGATATTTCTAACAGTTTTGATATTTTTCCTTTTTGTTAATGATGACATTGGGCCTTGGTGAACTTTGATCCCTATCCAGGTCCTACAGGTTAGCTCCTTAACTCCAAAGTAGTAACTGCATGAAGTTTGAAACTTTATGTGTGTGTATATATATGTGTGTGTGTGTGTGTATATATATATATATATATATATACACACACACACATACATACACACCTGTACCTAATGTTTTCAAGTGTTTGAATGTATTTTAAGAGCATATGTGCCAATTCAATTCTTACATAGTGGCTTATCTCTTTAAGTTTTCAGGAACTTGTAGAACCTAGTGTTTCTGTCTATTGGAAAGACCCAAAATTACCTAACTAGGAAAACTAATTTAACATTTAAAAATTCATATATTTGTGTCATTTTCAGTTGAAAATCTGTAGTACCCAAAACAGCCTTATATATTTTACCTTTCTTTGGAGTCTGTTTCTTATGTTTAATTTATATCTGTTAATGCAAACGAATCGAACTATCCTTCAAAAGGACATTCTTTTTTTAAACAATAATATGTATTATCAGATCCTGAAAATATGTAATTCTTAACTTGCCATATCTTTTACAGGTTTTCAAACTATCCCACCTTCACATTTTGGGTTGTTACAAAGTTCTAAATTCTACTGCTGTTAAAAATGGGCTAATAGGGCCAGGCACCATGGCTCATGCCTGTAATCCCAGCACTTTGGGAGGCCGAGGCGAGCGGATCACCTGAGATCAGGAGTTCAAGACCAGCCTGACCAATATGGTGAAACTCCATCTCTACTAAAAATATAAAAATTAGCCAGACGTGTTGGCATGCACCTGTAGTCCCAGCTACTAGGGAGGCTGAGAAAGGAGAATGGCTTGAACTTTGGAGGTGGAGGTTGCAGTGAGCTGAGATCGCACCACTGCACTCCAGCCTGGGCAAGACTCCATCTAAAAATAAAAAAAGAAAAAAAGGGACTAATAGGCACAGAGAAAAAAAAATCGGTGCAGGCCGGGTGCGGTGGCTCACGCCTGCAATCCCAGCACTTTGGGAAGCCGAGATGGGCGGATCACGGGGTCAGGAAATCGAGACCATCCTGGCTAACACGGTGAAACCCCGTCTCTACTAAAAGTACAAAAAAAAAAAATTAGCCGGGCGTGGTGGCGGGCACCTGTAGTCCCAGCTACTTGGGAGGCTGAGGCAGGAGAATGACGTGAACCTGGGAGGCAGAGCTTGCAGTGAGCCAAGAACGCACCACTGCACACCAGCCTGGGTGACAGAGCGAGACTCTGTCTCAAAAAAAAAACAAACAAAAAAAAACAATGCAACCAGCACAGATTACAAGGTTCTTAATCTTATTTTCATTATACATATGTAAACAGTACACACCAAAGAACAACTACCAAGAGCTACCCAATGGAAAATTGCTGATTCCTGGTGAAAGATGTTTGTTTACCTAATTAGCAGTAAAACGAGCCACAAATATTTGAATGTATTTATTGTTATTCAAAATAAATAGTCCTTTTCAAATTTGTAAGAAAGAATTAAAAGAGATAATAGTATACCCCATGATGTCTGGCTATTGAGAATGGCAGGACATTTTTTCATCTTATACAATTAAAATACATAATTTTTCAAGATTGTTTTTAGGAAGCCATTTGTTTCTACCTGAATTGATTCTCTAGTTTCTTACTCCACTGCAAACTCATTATTTCATAGAACCATAGAATGTCAGATCTAGAAGGGACCTAAGTTTTACCTATGTCAAGGAGAAATTATCCACAAGTCAGATTTTATTCAGGACTATTGCAGTAGAGTAGAAACTATTGCAGTAGGAGAGAGACTGAGCTCAACTTCAAATACAACAAAGAAAAGTGATTATTTATAGCCAAGGAGCAGAGTGAGAGGGCCAGTAATAGAAAATTACTAAGAGGAGGCATCAAGGGTAGAGAGGAGTGAGTTCTTATTAAACTGGCTCAACAAGATTTTTGCCAGAAACAGGCCAAGGATTTAGACATCAAAGGTGGGAGATGAGGAACTTCATCAGATATCAAGGGTGAAGGGACTGTCTTTAAACCGATTTAGCAGTATTATTGATGTAACTGGATTTGGAAGGCCAAAAAGTAGGCCCAAGGATGAGGCCTAATTGAGAGGAGGGCTCAGAGGAACCTGTCTAAAGTTTGGTCAAGGAGTCTTTGTCACATAGGAAAAAATTGAGGTTTAAGAGGTTAAGAAACTTGCTCAAGGTAATACTGTTAGTTACTGGCATAACTGGGACTCTGACTTAAGGCTCCTCAGTGATCAATTAGGTGTCTGTTCTACAGGGAGCAGACTGTTCACTGCATCCACTTTCTTGTTTTCTGTTACCTCAAAAGCTCCATCAGCATCTCCATCAACCAGATTGCTTCTTGTGTTCTTCTTAAATTATATCATCGAAAAGAGTAAGACAGTGCATTCTATTTAACTGTCACTAAGATAAAGCGAAGACTAGGGAGGTACTTTGAAGTAATGTTGAGTCCCACCTTATCTGACCTACATAGAATTTTGCTGCTTTGATTACTGCTAAACTCTACTGTTAGCTAGGAGATTTCTTTCTTCTGAATTACTATAATATATTCAAAAAAGAAAAAGAATAGTAGCCACATTCCTTTAAAAGAAATTTAACAATTTCTTATTTACCAAATGTGCTCTAAATTGCATAGTTGTTGGAAGTTGGTCTCTGTGATGTTTTCTGCTTTGCAATAGTTGAAGACTACAACCTGAAGTGGAAACTGAATTTAAAATATACCAATCAATTCATCAATATGCCTTTAGTAATTACTACTTATGGACAATATTTTAGGTTTTTGTTTTGTTTCCTTTTTCAGTTTAACTTTGTTAAATAGTTGAAAAATAATGGATTGTGAGCCTCATACAAAAAAAAATTGACTTGGCATATAGCTCATTAAAATGTTACCTTTTAAAATACAGTCTTAAAAGTTTTGCTATGATATGATCCAAAGTTTTCCATGCTAATTACTCAGGCTGAAATGTCATATTTCAATGAAATATTTTTCTGAGAGTTCTTGTTATTGGTCCCTCTATATCAAACACACATATAAAATGTCTTTACTCAAACCCTGAATTGTCTTAGGTGGGAATTCTAATTTATTTATCTAATTTTGTGGCCAGACTCTGCTCTAAGTATTGTCTTGAGTTAATTTGCTGTCTGTGATTTAGAAACAATTTAAACAAACAGAAGCCAATATTTAGCTTTCTGAATTTCAAAGTATCAAATGCTTTGGAAGTTTCATTAGGAGATGATGATAATGTTTTCTATTATATGGCATGCCACAATTTACATCATATAATGTACTTTTATTGTAAGCATCTTAAGGACAGAGTTGAGTCTTGCTCATCTTTGTGTTTCCTGTAGCACCTTGCACATGGCAGACATTAGGCCAGTATTTTAAAACTTGAATCTGATTTTTAAAACATTCCTGTGAGGGAGGTTAGGGCAGATAGCACTATTCCCATTATACGGGTAAAAAACCATGCTCAGAAAGATTGAATTGCCCAAAGTCATATAGTTATTAAGTAGCAGAGTCAAAAATAGATCCTAGGTCTTCTAATTCCTAGGATTCATTGCTCTAGCACGATTTATTCTCTCTGCTAACATTTGGTGCTTATAAATCATAGCAAGACTTGTAAGAAAAGAAAATTGTGTTTATAGTCAATTAACACTAACCAAGGGGTGCTCTGTTTGTAGGCTTTTAATCTTTTTATTTAATGATCCTTCTTTTAATAGTGAATAGCCTGTTAATATGTGCATTGAATAATAATAGAATAAATATGATATTTTCTGTGGTTTGGGGTGGGATATTGCATGCCAAAATATTTTCAAGTACCCTTTCACTGATAGTCTTCATATCTTGGAAAAGTTGAATCTTTATTTTTGTGTTCAATGGTGTACAAATATATATTGGCTTTTTCTCTTTAAGTAACTTATTGTAAGTACTATAATAATAATATAATAGTAATAATAGGCCAGGCACGGTGGCTCATGCCTGTAATCCCAGCACTTTGGGAGGCCAAGGTGGTTGGATCACCTGAGGTCAGGAATTCAAGATCAGCCTGGCCAATATGGTGAGACCCTGTTTCTACTAAAAATACGAAAATTAGCTGGGCGTGGTGGTGGGTGCCTGTAATCCCAACTACTCGGGTGGCTGAGCCAGGAGAATCCTTAGAACCCAGAAGGTGGAGGTTGCAGTGAGCTGAGATCATGCCATTGCACTCCAGCCTGGGTGACAGTGAGACTCCTTCCAAATAATAATGATAATAATAATTGAATAAATAGTAATAAGAAAGCCTCCTGATTAATTATGAAAAAAATCAGAATGTGACTTCATGAAATGCTTTTCAAATACAAACAAAAGTACAGTTGGTAATGGTCATTGTATATTCGTGTTTTGATTTTTCTATTCTATCACCCATGATCTTTATATTTATTGCCAATGAGGCCTTTAAAGTCAACTGTATCTTCTTGAAGCAGTCTGAGCATATCAAGAAATTGACACCTGGTGTTTTTATTAAAAGATAACACAAGCCAAGATAAACTTCAGCATTAATCCCAAATTACCCCTTTGCTAAAGGAATTTGAAGGCCGTTGGTGAAATGGGTACTACCTAGCCAACTTTAATGTTTTGAGAAGCTAATTTTTGGAAAGCCACAGTAGCAGTGTTAACATGATATCTTCAGTAGAGTTTTCTGTTTTCTGGATTAACAAAGAACAATAGTTTATCCTTTAGAATAAGCTCTATTTGAAAAAGTTTGGCTCTCTATAATTCTGTATGGTTCTGTTTGCATACTGATTATGCTGTAAGTATAAGAAATGCTGGCAAAGAACGTTATTGTTTTAACTTGTACTATAATGTGAACCACTTCTAACTCATAATCTTATTTTGTACTGTGTGATGTCTGATACTGCTAACATCGATCTTTGGGCTTTGGTGAACTCTGATCTTCCCAGGTTTTCAAGGTTAGACTCTTCACTGGTCAATTCTTTTTTTTTTTTTTTTTTCTAATGCTTTGTGTGTGTGATAAGAGAAATGCAATTTTTTGCTATAATTCAGAAGTCATTGAAGAGTGCTGTTATCCTCAAGCTGGGGTTTTAACATTTTGTTGAAGGTAATGTGACTTGATTATAATTAAGTTTCAAATGACGTTAGGGTCTTTGTGTTTGCAACTGTTTATAATAAGTAATCAATGCATAAAGACATGTTGAATTTTAAATGGAAATACACTTATTTTTACCTTCAAGACTGCATTAAAATATTTAGGCAAGCATATGACCCATTTGTAATCTCTGAATATTGATTTTATTTTCTCAAAATTTTATTTTCTCAGATTGCCCTGATCTGTGTATTTATGGCTATTTTCAGTGATGGCAGAGATATACTATTGAATACAATTAAAAATAAAACTTATATGTTCTTCATGTAATTAATAACTCATAATTTGAAGGACTCTAAACATCAGGTCTGAATTAACATGCAAATTTCCCATTTTTTTTTAAATTTCAAAAAGAGCAGTGCCTTAGGTTATTTCAGTTGATACAGTGTTCTGATAACCTTTAAAATGGAGTAGAGAGTCATAAAAGGTTTCCTTTTTTCCCATCTTACTTTGTTATTATTATTAGATTGATTCACAGTTTATTTATTTTTCATAATTTTCTGATTTGCTACTTAATTTCTAGTGCAAATCATACATTATGGATTAAATTAACAAGTTTACTTAGAACACTGAAGTTACGTTTTGTTTTTTTTTTTCAAATGTACAATGTACTAAACCTTTTCGTTATGATTGAGAAGGGAATTTCTGTGTTGTCTGGTTGCCAGGCTGGGGTGACTATATGAGTTAAATTGTTTGACGATAAAACAGTTGTTGAACTATTGTAAATCTCCTTCCTCTTTCTCATGTGCCAGATAGAGTCATGTTATGTTATAAAATTACATAGAAATACCTGAAAGATTAAAAAGATGCTCATATTTTAAGATATGTTTTTATCTTCAATTTTACTAATAAAGAAAATAATAATAATAATTTTAAAAAGCCCTTCCACAGTTTGTACCCGGCACTGTGCTAAGTAATTTTTACAGGGTATCTCATTTAATCCTTGGAACAACCTGCTAAAGTAGGTGCTATTCTTAATTCCATTTTATAGAAGAAAAAATTGAAGCCAAGGAGATTAATAATCTTACTGAAGTCAAACAGCTAGTAACGAATGGAGCTGGTTTTGTAACCCAGCATTCTAGCTCCAAAGTCTAGTGTTCTTAATCATGGTGTCATTCTGCTTTGTTAGTATTTTGCCATTGATTCTGAATCTTAAGAGTATTGGAAAGGAAACTAAAGTCTGATTTTTATTTTAGATTAAAAAGACAACCTTTTGTCCATATATAAGAATGAACTCTATTCTAAATTCATAACAAGTGCCTATTATAGTTCCTTAAAAAATAATCCCTACATATCTTCATTTTTTGTTGAAATCAATAAAATCGGAAATGACCAGAGGAGAGAAGGTGTAAATGCTAACTATTGGCTGTTCATTATTTAGGGTTTTGTAATTATTTTCTTAAGGCAGGATTAGTTAGTCTCAGCCTCAGCCACTGAACACTGCAAGCAAGTAGCACCTATTTGCCACCTGGTGACAAAAGACTTGACCAATGATAAGATCTCCCTGGTTGCTTAATGGACCTATTATCTTTATTCAGAAAAACAAATTAAAAACATAGCATAAGTAAAAATGCTAAGCAAAATCCTGTTTTAAATTATTTTGTTTATTCACAAGATACGTACAGAATTCTTTATTTTTCTTGAAAAATATTTAAAATGTAAAGAATATGAAAACATTTTAAAAATGAATTTTAAGGTACTTTATTGATTCAATAAATTTCTAACATTTAAAAAAGTTCGTATGTATCAAGCATATCACTAAAATGAAATTAGTTTGCTTAAATTACTATCTGCATTGCATAGTAATAAAAGCTAAATAAATGTAACTACTTACAAATAAAGCAATTTGATTTTAATCACAACGAAACAAAATGGCTTGAATTTCTGATTGCCCTACAGCAGTGATGCTTAAAGTGTGGTCCCTGAACTAGCAGCTTTAGCTTCCACACAGTCCTTGTTAGAATGCAAATTATTGGGTCTCTCCTAAGTCTCTTTTTTCTAAATTATTTATTCTTAAGGCTGGTCAAGTGCAGTAACAAGAAGGGAGGAAAGAGTTGAACAAGGAGTTCAATCTATAACTGAACGATCAATTGAGATAACTCACTACCTTCAGACCAGTCTCCTAGGTCTTACTGAATCCAAAACTCTTGGGGTAGGCCCAGGAATCTGTTTTAACAAACTGTCTATTTGATTCTGATGCATGCTCCAATTTGAGAAAGTGCCCTACAGTTTCTGTTTAATTTCACTTAAAGTCAAACTCTTTGTTAAGGATTACAGAACCACACATTGTTAAGTCATGAGTCTTTTTCTTTAGATGTTATTTTATTGAATTTAATATATTATAAAATGTAAACTAAAAGAATCTGCAAGTCAGTATTAATAACAAAAAGAATCCAGTCCAATTTATATTAGAAAGGGAATCAGCATAGGTCTATATATTTTAATGTTGTCTGGGTTTTATTCTGCAAACTAATAGGAAGATGACTAATATTTTAAAAGCCTGACTTTTATGCTACTCTTACGCTATACTGAAATGTGGTCATTTGCTGTGGATTATTAAGGTCTACCAGGTCCAGAAGGTCCCCCAGGTCTCCCTGGAAATGGAGGTATTAAAGGAGAGAAGGGAAACCCAGGCCAACCTGGGCTACCTGGCTTGCCTGGTTTGAAAGGAGATCAAGGACCACCAGGACTCCAGGTAGGAAATGGGAGTAGATATGTGATGAGGAAAGAATGTGGGTGTTTGTATTCAAAATGTGAATTCTAAGCTGCATCATTTTAATTAACACTCACTAGACAAGGTTCTATTCGTGGCTCACTGGTGAATTAAAAAGACAGTAGAAGGCAAGTTTCCTATAGTCTCCTAAAGGGGCTTTGCTGTATTATAGTCAAAGAGTTCCTGAAAAGATACTTTACCTGGAGTCTTTTTTTATGCATATTTGGATTTGAGTAGCCTTCATTTTATGGTAAATAGAGGAATCTTTTAGGCTTTGAAATTAGATAAAGTTAGGGTCAAATGTCGGCTCCCCTGCACAATTCTGCTTTGTATCTCTGAGGAAAACAGACACTGGGTTTCCATCTTCACCTATAAAAAGAGAATAATAGCACATCCACTCATGTGCTTTCTATGTTGGTTTGAGTGACTCAGAGAAGAGAGTCACATTCCTCTTTATGGGTTCTCAAAACTGCCTCCATTCGGTCAGGATGATTGCTGGTGGATTTGGCAGTCAACAAAATCTGGACTGTCTTTTAATTCTGAAGACTGCTTTATGGCAGAAAAAAGTATTTAACGTAGTGGTCCTTAAAGCTTTTCAAAGTCTAATCTTTTTCCCCATGCCATCACTATTCTTCCAGTTACCTAGACTTAAAAATTTACTTCTGTTTACTCATTCTCTACTCACTCCTTATAAATATGCGTATTTCCAGAAACAATTAAGAATAAGTTTCACCTGCTATACCCCTTTACTACTAAATATTTTAATGCAGATTTCTTAAGATTAAAAATATTCTCATGTGTTATTATAAGATGACAATGAAAAGCTATAGGATTGTTTATATTTTATAAAATTCTTACCAAATGTCTTGGCTGCAGCCTGTAATCCCAGCAACTTGAGAGGCTGGGGCAGGAGGGTTACTTGAGGCCAGGAATTTGAGACAAGCCTGGACAACATAGCAAGACCCTGTCTCTAAATTTTTTTTAATTATATAACCACAGTATACTTATTAACTTCAGAAAATTTAACATAGATATACATTAATTTCTATCTTTCATATTCCAGTCGGGTCCAGTGACCTAATAGTGTTCTTAGCATTTCTCCTTCCAGTACAGGGTCCAGGCCAAGTCATGTTTTGCATTTAATTGTCATATCTCTTTAGCCTTCTTTAATCTGGAACAGTTCCTAAGTCTATTTTCTTTTTCTCATGACCTCAACATTTAAAAACACTTGTACCCCCACCCCCATTTTAAAATAGAATATTCCTTTTTTGTCTGATGTTTATTCATAATTAGATACAGGTTATGCATCCCCAGCTGGAATACTACATGAGTGATGCTGTGTCCTTCTCAGGCTAACAGATAAGGAGGTCCATGATGTCTATCTGCCCCTCATTTGTGATTTTAGTTTTGATCATCCAGTCAAGTTGTTGCTCAGTTTCTCCACTGTATCATTATGTTTTTCCTTGCAACTAGTAAAACTGTAGGAAGGCATATTAAGATAGTGCAAATATACCACTCCTCATCAAAAATTTCCCTTAGATTTAACATCCATTGCCTCAACCAATCTCTACTGGGATAGTGGCAAAATGATGTTGTTTCAACTCTAGCACTGCCTCCACATTTACTAGTCAGTTCTACTGTAAGCAAGAGCCTTCCCTTCTCTCTGGTTTACTTATGCATTTCTTATCATTTTGGACTCATTTTTTCCCATGTTTTCCACTAATTTACAATTTCTAAACTGTCATTACTTATTTCGATGCTCTCATTGTTCCAGATTTGGAAGCCCCTTCAAACTGGATTTGATGTTTTTCTGATATGTACTTCCTTCCAACTATTTTTTTAGCACTTTTAAATATTATTCCATAATAAGATGCTCCAGGCTTGTCCCTCTTTCATTCTTACTAATATAAGCTTTGTTGTCCTGCACTTGAAGTAGAGCAATAGCCTCCTGTATGATCTTACTCTTCCATATTCTTCCTGTATTTGGGTGGCTGAGGTGGGATGATTGCTTGAGCCTAGGAGTTTGAGGACAGCCTGGGCATCATGGTGAGATCCTATCTCTATAGAAAAGAAAGAAAAAGAAAGAATAAAATAATAGTTACCTTTCATTAAGTACACAGCATACATCAGTCTTCTAAGCACTTAGTATTGTTAGCAAAAGACAATGAGCTCTGCAGGAGAAAAAGGAAGAGCTTTATTTTCTATAAAAAGTAATCTGTGGATTGGGAAGGCACAGCTTTCAGTACAAGTGAAAGTGTGATCTCTGAAGAACAAAGGGAGGATTTGGCTTAAGGGAAAGTTCTCACCCATGTTCTCAATCAGGTCCATTTATGCAAATGAAGGATACAGACTTCATCAGTTCTGATTGATTGAAATACTTGAGCCCTGATCAGGTGATTTCCAAGACCAAAGCCAGAAGTCTGCCAGATGTTTCTTTCAAATGGCCAGTGGGCAGGGGATGTTTTCAAGCCACAGTTTATCTTCGCAGTGGCTTGACTCTATTGTAGAAAGGGAGATCCTGTGACACTTTTACAACATCTTTACAAGAACACAAGATATGTGACATTTCCCTTACCTAGCCATGGCCAGTTGGTTGCGTTTTAACTTTGCGCACCTTAGTTAGCCATGGGAAGTTCATTTTGTCTGTCAGCCAGGGGTATATTTTAACAATATGAACTGTCTCATTTAATTCTCACCACAACCCTATGAAGTAAATACTGTTATTTTCTCTATATTTGAGGTGAGAAGACTATGAATCAAAGAGGTTAAATAATCAACTCAATTCACACAAGCTAATATAAGGCAAAATTGAGATTATAGTCTTGGAAGTTTGACTCTAGAAACAGTGCTATATGCCACTATGCAATTCTTATGCCCTCACTCCCCTTCCTCCCCTTACTGCAATTTTTTTGTAACATTAATGATTTTATTTATTCAGGGTAATCCTGGTCGGCCGGGTCTCAATGGAATGAAAGGAGATCCTGGTCTCCCTGGTGTTCCAGGATTCCCAGGTATTTGAAGGGATTTTTGTGGTTTCCCTTTATATTAAACGCCTCTGGGAGAAGATAGCCATTTTCTGATTTGACTGGGTAAAGGTTGTAGCCCTGTTGCTTTGCCATGAAACTGTATGTACCTTCTGTGTAGGCATGAAAGGACCCAGTGGAATACCTGGATCAGCTGGTCCTGAGGGGGAACCGGGACTTACTGGTCCTCCAGGTAAGACTTGTTCCTGAAGATAGTTATACCTGATACTTAGATGCTTTAAAGAATTTGAAAGTTTTCATTCTGTCTTTCAGCCAGACCGTTGGAGGCTAAGTCCCCAACAACTGAGGGAATATAAACAAGGCTTTCCTTTTATTTACTAATCTCTTACATTCTCTATTTTATTAACATAATATTGATAGCAGACCTTTTAAAGTTAAGATAGATACAGGATCAACAAAAACACTTCCTTGACATTAGCTTCTATACTAACTTCCCCAAATTCAATTGAACAGATCACAAGAGCAAGTCACATATGAATTTTTAAAAATATTTTTGATATTAAAATAGTTCATTTTGCTAAGAGGCTTATAGAAGCTTCTTATAAATTGAGAAATAGGGAATCCGCTAAATTCCCCTAGTAGATCAAAGGGTCCCTTGACAAGCACAGCAAGCAAAAACTGCAAATGATGTTGGAGTCAGAATGGATGTGTAAGGGAATAAAATTGTCTTCCCCTGACACCAGTGTTCACAGATTTATAATGGATGAGACTTTCTAGTAAGTGAGTAATATTCGAAGTTTGAAAATAGGGATGATATGTGTACTTTTTACACTGACCCTAATAAAATTATTTTTCAATTGAAAGTTATTTTTCAATTTTTAGTTTTCCTAAACAGATTTCTGTTAGATACAGCAGCAATTCAAAAACTGGTTTCTCTCACACCAATTCTTGTCCTGAACTTAGATCACTTTGGCTTCCATTTCTTGTAACCTTTCTCTTTCCCTTCAAATTTGTGTGTTTTGCCTCATAGGTCCTCCTGGATTACCTGGTCCTTCAGGACAGAGTATCATAATCAAAGGAGATGCTGGTCCTCCAGGAATCCCTGGACAACCTGGGTTAAAAGGTCTACCAGGACCCCAAGGACCTCAAGGTTTACCAGGTACCAATGCAGATCATCTTTATTATTATTATTATACTTTTAATTTCTGGTATACATGTGCAGAAAGTACAGGTTTGTTACATAGGTATACATGTGCCATGGTGGTTTGCTGCACCCGTCAACCTGTAATCTACATTAGGTGTTTCTCCTAATGCTATGCCTCACCTAGCCCCTCATCCGCTGACAGGCCCAGGTGTGTGATGGTCCCCTCCCTGTGTCCATGTGTTCTCATTGTTCAGCTCCCACTTAGGAGTGAGAACGTGTGGTGTTTGGTTTTCTGTTCCTGTATTAGTTTGCTGAGAATGAGGGTTTCCAGCTTCATCCGTGTCCCTACAAAGGACATGAACTCATCCTTTCTTTATGGCTGCATAGTATTCCATGGTGTGTATGTGACACATTTTCTTTATCCAGTCTTATCATTGATGGGCATTTGGACTGGTTCCAAGTCTTTGCTATTGTGAACAGTGCTTCAATAAACATATGTGGGCATGTGTCTTTATAGTAGAATAATTTATAATCCTTTGGGTATATACCAAACTGGGATTGCTGGGTCAAATGGTATGTCTGGTTCTAGATCCTTGAGGAATCGCCACACTGTCTTCCACAATGGTTGAACTAATTTACACTCCCACCAATAGTGTAAAAGCACTATCTCTCCACATCTTCTCCAGCATCTCTTGTTTCCTGACTTTTTAATGATCACCATTCTAACTGGCGTGAGATAGTATCTCACTGTGGATTTGATTTGCATTTCTCTAGTGACCAGTGATGATGAGCTTTTTTTCATATGTTTGTTGGCCTCATAAATGTCTTCTTTTGAGAAGTGTCTGTTCATATCCTTTGCCCACTTTTTGATGGGGTTGTGGTTGTTTTTTTCTGGTAAATTTGTTTAAGTTCCTTGTAGATTCTGGATATTAGCCCTTTGTCAGACGGATAGATTGCCAAAATTTTCTCCCATTCTGTAGGTTGCCTGTTCAATCTGATGATAGTTTCTTTTGCGGTGCAGAAGCTCCTTAGTTTAATTAGATCCCATTTGTTAATTTTGGCTTTTGTTGCCATTGCTTTTGGTGTTTTAGTCATAAAGTATTTGTCCATGCCTATGTCCTTAATGGTATTGTCTAGGATTTCTTCTAGGATTTTTATGGTTTTAGGTCTTACGTTTAAATCTTTAATTTATCTTGAGTTAATTTTTGTATAAGGCATAAAGAAGGAGTCCAGTTTCAGTTTTCTGTGTATGGCTAGCCAGTTTTCCCAACATCATTTGAATATGAAATCCTTTCCCCATTTCTTGTTTTTGTCAGGTTTGCCAAATATCAGATGGTTGTAAATGGGTGGCATTATTTCTGAGGCCTCTGTTCTCTTCCATTGGTCTATATATCTGTTTTGGTACCAGTACCATGCTGTTTTGGTTACTGTAGCCTTGTAGTATAGTTTGAAGTCAGGTAGTGTGATGCCTCCAACTTTGTTCTTTTTGCTTAGGATTGTCTTGGTTATACAAGCTCTTTTTTTTATTATTCTATATGAAATTTAAAGTAGTTTTTTCTAATTCTGTGAAGAAAGTCAATAGTAACTTGATGGAGATAGCATTGAATCTATAAATTACTTTGGGCAGTATGGCCATTTTCACGATATTGATTCTTCCTATCCATGAGCATGGAATATTTTTCCATTTGTTTGTGTCCTCTCTTACTTCCCTGAGCAGTGGTTTGTAGTTCTCCCTGAAGAGTTCCTTCAAATCCCTTGTAAATTGTATTCCTAGGTATTTTATTCTCTTTGTAGCCATTGTGAATGGGAGTTCACTCATGATTTAGCTCTTTGTGTATTATTGGTGTATAGGAATGGTTGTGATTTTTGAACATTGATTTTCTATCCTGAGACTTTACTGAAGTCACTTATCAGCTTAAGGAGATTTTGGGCTGAGACAATGAGGTTTTCTAAATATGGAATCATGTCATCTGCAAACAGAGACGATTTGACTTCCTCTTTTTCTATTTTATACCTTTATTTCTTTCTCTTGCCTGATAGCCCTGGCAAGAACTTCCAATACTATGTTGAGTAGGAGTGAACTCAGGATTAAGAAACTCACTCAAAACTGCACAACTACATGGAAACTGAACCACGGGCTCCTGAATGACTACTGGGTAAATAACGAAATTAAGGCAGAAGTAAATAAGTTCTTTGAAACCAATGAGAACAAGGACACAATGTACCAGAATCTCTGGGTCACAGCTACAGCAGCATTTAGAGGGAAATTTATAGCACTAAATGCCCACAGGAGAAAGTGGGAAAGATCTAAAATTGACACCCTAACATCACAATTAAAGGAACTAGAGAAGCAAGAGCAAACACATTCAAAAGCTAGCCGAAGGCAAGAAATAACTAAGATCTGAACAGAAGTGAAGGAGATAGAGACACAAAAAATCAGTGACTCCAGGAGCTGTTTTTTTTTTTTTTTTTTTGGAATAGAAACATTTATTAATAATTTGCAACATACTGTATCTTAAAATTTTCCACTTTTAAAAATATTATCACTATTACACTCAATTCTAGGGTACGTAAAATTCATACATATAAATTATAAATAAACACCCAAATATAGCGTCAAAAGTCATCACATTCATATATAAAAAAAAAATAATTTTGTAAGTGGTCTCAGCAAAGAAAAGAATAACTAGGTTTAAATATTTTAATAATGTGAATTATTTTAAAATATTTTTAAGTCAGCAGAGTGCCTGGGCTGGCCATGATGCCTCACGCCTGTAATCCCAGAACTTTGGGAGGCTGAGGCAGGCAGATCACTTAAAGTCAGGAATTCAAGATCAGCCTGGCCAAATGGCATAACATCATCTCTACTAAAAATACAGAAATTAGCCAGGCGTGATGGCGCACACCTATAGTCCCAGTTACTCAGGAAGCTCAGGTGGGAGGATCGCTTAAGCCCAGGTCGAGGCTGCAGTGAGCCCAAATCATGCTGCTGGACTTCAGCCTGGGTGACACAGTAAGACCCTGTGTCAAAAAAAAAAAAAAAAAAAAATGGAAACCACAAATAACTGGAGGTTTTAGATTGTTGATTGCATTTAAAAACCATTTCACACTAGGTGACAATATTCCGTATATATACAGAAGACTAAAAACATATTAACAGGCCTAGCAGTTCTACTCAAGAGGAATAAAACCACACAAAAACTTGTTCATATATGTTCATAGCAGCATTATTCGGAATAGACAAAAAATGGAAACAACCCAAATGCCCGTCAACTGATGAGTGGGCAAACTGTAGCCTATCCACAGGGTGGAATATTATTTATCAGTAAAGAGAAAGGAAAGTACCACAAAAGCTGCAACATAAACAAACCTTAAAAACGTCATCCTCAGTGAAAAAAGCCAGTCATAAAGCACTATAAACTGTAGGATTCTATTTATATGAAATACTCAGAATGCCAAATCTACAGAAACAGAAAGTAGACCTGAGGTTTCTAGCGGCTAGGGAAAAGTGGGGATTCGGAGATAATAGCTAGAGGGTGGTGATGGTTGTACAGCTCTGTAAATACACTAAATACCACTGAATTGCACAATTTCAATGGGTACATTATTCGGAATGTGAATTATATTGCAATAAAGATTTTACAAAATAAAAAATGTATTATCAGGTAAAGATTTTCTACTGTTGTCACCGTTAATCTTAACCTCATAAATCCTAATCCTGCGCCAGCGCTGCCAGAAACAGAAAGAATCTACGCCATCCCAGCCATGCATCTGTGGGGGCACATTCAAGGAAAGTCTCCTAGTTGTCACCCACATGGCAACTCTAACCAGGGATGGCCAAAAGATGTCCCTGACGGACAGTCACAAGGTGGCAGCTCATCTGAAGGGCCCCCAACTGATACCAGGACTTCTTCACCTAAGCTCCTCAATTCAAGATACTTCAGAGTGGCCCAGCAGTGCAGATTTTCTTTATTTTTATTTTTATTTATTTCTGTGTGTGTGTGTGTGTGTTTTATTTTATTTTATTATACTTTAAGTTCTAGGGTACATGTGCACAACGTGCAGGTTTGTTACATATGTATACATGTGCCATGTTGGTGTGCTG